CGGACTTTTTCTTTTGACATTTTTGGTATTTTATTTGATTCCAATTTGAGATTTTATCATTGTATATTGTTATTCTTTCTATATTTTGTACTTATATTGAAGTTTTTGTGTTTGCTTCTGAACTGTACATATGTTGTTTAAATTTGATATAATATGGCTACCGCCACATTTTTGGACGGACGCAGTGGCCGCTGGACTTAGCGTCACTTACTTGTTATTGTGTCTGATACTCTGTGGAGTAACTTTACCCTGGAAGAAGCACTATTTCCGTAATGCTTTGTATTTCCATTTTTTAACTAATACAGAGACGTTTTCACCTAGAAATTTGTCCTTTTTGAATTGGTTGGGACCCGGAACTGGGAAAAGCGTACAGGAGTGCCTCTATTGGAACCAATTGGGACGGCCACTGTAGAAATACATTTACAGTCTGCTCGAATCCAAATTACCATTCCTTGCATTTCGAGCAGTTAGGAAGCTTCTACCATCACATACCTCGGTTCCGTCTTGATGCCTAACCTTTCTGCCTTTTTCCTTCTTCGTCGTCCTCAAAAAAGCCACCTTATCTGCTACAGATACCGACTTCTCACTAGGATACACATAAAGGGATTTTAAATCATAAAGCTTACATGCTCGGTCTTCAGGAGGACATACCTTTCTAATACAATTAACGACTCTCTTAAGTTCCGGGCGTGAGGTAGGTGCAAACACATTCGAAGAATTCCCTTGTCCCGCACGCAGATGACTCATCGCTTCCATATCATGTCCTGTTTTCGTGCGATTAGCTAATCGTCCAAATCTACTACTAGCTATCCTTGCACGAGACAAAATAAAGTCAGTCAACTCATTGAATGTAGGCTCTCTATCCTCTTCGTCCCATTTAATTCCCAGCTCAGCCCACTGGACTTGCATACGATGAGGTAGAAGCCTAACTATCTTTTCCAATGTAACTAAAGAATTCAATTCAGCAGTGCAATTTAGCTGTTCCAGAGTCATAGACACGTTCTGCATCTTAATTGATAAATTCGACAATTGCTCTGGATAGCTATAGTCAGCATTCCCTGATCTAAACAACTCTTCCAAGGTTTCACGAGCGTTTACGTGCGATTGTCCGAAAAGCTGCTTTAGAATAGCCTTGGCCCTTTTATATCCTGCGTGAGGTTCCATTATAAGACATCCCTCTTGCCTTTCCCTTACAGTAATGGATTAAATTTAATAGGGGCAGATTGTCATCTATAACTCTAGATTCTATAAACGTCTCAAATTTCTTAACGAACCTAAAATAATCACGGTGTCGGCCGTCAAAGAAAGGGAGTTCAAACTTTGGCGATTCTAAGCCAACTACCGGTGTCCTAGACATCAAATCTTTCCCAGATATCTCAAAGTTCCCGTCCAAACTTCGTCCCTTAGTACCCTCTAATGATGACATACGACAATAAGTACTGAGCATAACATCATCCTTATTAGAGAGTGAACCCTTTAAACATGAAGTATCGTGCGCTACTTGCCTTGAATTCCGCGACACTTCATCGGCTCCATCCCTCTTTGTGTTTGGCTTCTTTCGAGAACTCATTATAGCAATTGAAGTTCAAGGGAAAAGAAACAACAAAGACCAGATATTAAAGTTTCACCGGTTCCGATTCTCCAATTATTGTCGACAATGAGACATCCAAAGTATTTTTCTCCAAATATCGTTAAGGACCAGTTGAAAGTAAAATATGCGAAAGATCCTATTCCAAATATTGTTTAGAAATAGTAAACGACAAAAAGTCCAAAAGATCTCCAAATATTGTTTTGAACTACTGATTTTATAATTTACTCTTGCAGTTCGCCTTTGACCCGAAAGGTGTAGGTTCATTCGCGTCCCACCCAGTCCAAGTCCAAAAACGATAATTCTGGGAGAGAACGGTTCCGTATTTAATAAAAAACGGAATTCAGACAATTACCAAAACAATATTACACCTTCGAGTTTCCAATCACCACAATAGGTTCCGTTGCCGGAAGAATAAGTGCTTCCAGTCCGTTACTGCTAGAGTATCAAATCCAAATATGGCTGTAGCCATATTATATATCAAATTTAAACAACACATATATAGTTCAGAAGGAAACATGGAAACTTCAATATAAGTACAAGATATAGAAATGATAGCAAGATACAAATGATAAAATCTCAAAATGGAATCAAATAGAGTACCAAAATATCAAACAGAAAGAGTCAGTCATATCATAACACAAATATATACACATGGAGGGATTTTCCAAAAACAAAACATTCAAAATAGTTTCTGCACTCCTTCCGATAGAATGGATTCAGCCTGTTAAAGATCTTTCTCATTAGTAATAATACTGTCGAAGGTAATGGAAGGACTCCGGATTGAGAATGTGAGGCAACGCAGGTATAGGATTAACGTACCACATGAAACTCAATATGAGCTTAAGAAACGCAGATCATTTGAATGCAGTTTACTCATAGCATGGGACGTCTGGTCAACCTGCTGGGATTGAAAATACTGGTTCATATAATATTTCTTGACTTCGAAAATGTCTTCGACACAGTACCATATGCACTCCTAACTACGAGGGCTGCGAAATCGGGTTTTGCTGGTGCACTTCTATCTTGGCTCAGAAACTACCTTGGAAATAGAGAGTTTTGAAACTCTTCAGTTTATATGTAAACTTGTTGAAATCATGCAGAAGTCGTTCATAACTCTCTTTAGGACATACTCAATGCCACGCCCTGAAGTTCATTGCAACCCCTCTCCTTAAGAGACATAAACTTTCTGGATAGAGTCTAAAGCCGAGCGACTAAATGAGTGATAGTGATGAAGAACAAATCTTACGAAAAGGAACTTCAAAATTTGGGATTACTCTCTCTCTGAGTTCTTAAATCTAATTAGCAATGAAATTTTTTCCTTACTATTATTCTCCACATTGAAATTAATTGATCTCCGATCTGGTGAGTTGATAGCTGCTGGCATGTAGAAACCCCACCGCCCTGAGACAAACGCACTCACTGAAATCATGGGACATACAAATTCATATATATTGCAAAACGACTAGAATTATTGCAATCGAGAGGGTAGACCACCATCCACTGACCACTACCGAATACTTGGAACCATGCCGAAAGAAGAAGTGAGAAAGACGAAACTCATATATTGCAACCGCAGGAGTGAGAACTGATGAATTTGGTTTCGTTCAGAAAGCTGTGGATTTCAGTTCCATTGGGTTAGTTTGCAAATTTCCCTTACACTTGGATATAATCACTAAGACTGTGTTCACAGAGGATAAGCATCCTCGTTTCCTAGGCAACTGCTTTACGTGATATTTACAACTCTGCATGTATTTCACGGAAGAGTATTTCCATACTTTTCAATTCAAAGTAGTATAAGCAAATGGAAAAGAGTCATTATTTTTGTTTTTGTCTATTATTTTTTGAGGACTGCGATATCGCGCTGGTTGTGAATATGTTCATAAGTTGAGAACCTTCGGAGTCCCCTAATTTTAGTGTCAGATAATATAATTTTGTGCGGCATTACGTAAGGCGGAATTTTATACTATAATATGAAGGAGCATAATTGTTTAAATAGTTGGTGTATTTACCGTGTTATGATTAGGTTTTCACTGGGAGGGAATGTAGGTTCCGAAATTTTAGTGGTATGTTTTCTAATCATTACTTGGTAACTGTAATACTTGGGGATCTAAACATCAGTAATTAGTCTTATCTGGTCACTATTTGTCTATGAGGTTTAGTCTGTGTTGCTGTGCTGTAGCTTCAGTAGACAGTCCCCAGGCAGATGATCTCACTAGATTTGTATTACATTCTCCTATGACATTCGAACCGATGTGCATCGGTAGTAGACCTCTTAGTGGTTTAGAGTGATAGTTTTTCACGCTCCGTATTTGGATTCTGAATCAATAATTCCCGTTTTACGACTCTTAGTACTCCTATAACCTAAACAGTTTTGATGAATTTAATCTTGCGGTGCATATAATGCCCTGCCAGAATAGACTTTTTTGATTATCACCCAAGTTCGCAGGGCTCATTAACAGATGGGTAAATTAGTTCTTAACAGTTGTATTTTGCTGTGTATCTATGTCTAACTCACAGTCAGTCAGTCAGTTGTAACGTAGAACTTCGTACGTAAGTACATCAGTTCATGTTGCCATACCACATCAGCACAGAGATATAATTGTCAATTCAAATCCAATAATAGAAGAGGTAGTAAATGTATTAGAAGTAATCACAGACGTTAGGAATAGAAGATATTCAAGAAATATGATTCAGTGAGAAAACTTTAGAAAGTCAAAACTAGAGGGGTTGGAGAATCCAGAAGATTAGGATTTGAGAGGACACAAAGAATAAGTGCACCGGCGCCATTGCAAACGGTTTTGAGCCATGTCATTCAGGGTATCTAACCGTCGATTATTGTCATCTCACGGACCCCAACCAGGTAGTAGACAAACACCGACATGGCTCAGTCCACTTGTCAATGACTTCATGGATTTATGCCATGTTTTGGTCTGGCCGCCCCTAGCTTTCTTCCAACCTATTCCTACACCACAAAACGTAGCTCGTCCATGCAGTCGGTTGTTAGGCATACACAGCACATGTCCCAACCACCTCAACTGATGAAGTTTCACTACTTCATCTATTGATCTGCCATTCTTACCTAGCACCCGTTTCCTAATAACAGCGTTGCTCACTCGGGTGTCCCAGAATATACGAGCAATGCTTCGAAGACACCTATGATCGAAAACCAGTAACCTACGAATATCTTCTACTCTCACTGGCCATGTTTCACAGCCATAAAGCAGGACGGAGCGAACTACTGCGCAGTACACTCATCTAACTCACGGAAATTAAGGATTTTGAATTCGTATATAAAATTGGAAATTGTGTGTGAGATTTCAGAATGCAAAGAGGTAGAGTATAATTCTAGTAGGATGTATATTGTACCCTGTTGAATATGCGTGATTCATTACAATAATTCGTGTCTTAAATGACAGGTAGATTATATTCGCGGACTAGTGTGTATATTAATTAGCGAAACGAAATACTCTTACTACTTAAGTGAAGAATCAAAATATTTCTGTTTACAAACGTAGTTATTTTCCTTACCATTGGCTTTGTGTTTTGTATCTTGCAGGTTATACTTATTATTCTTCAGATTTCTCTGGCTCCCGTTTATCTGAATATATTTCAGCATTTTTTGCTAAATCCATCATGGACGAAAGGTAGGTAATCGTCCAGTTAGAACTGATAGTTTTCCCATTCAGTGTTCATTCGAAATTCGTGTCTGTGTTCTAGGACTTGACGGAGTGTGAATACCTAGTCTATACACTCAAGTCCAGTCCTACAGTCTGCTCTTCACGAATACCAGTTAGGCATCGAAGTATATTAGTCAGACTGATTTCTCTGTGAGTGTCAGAAGAGGACTTTTTTCTTTTTTATAGACCTGTCCGGGGCCGCTGATCTCCCTCGCTTTAGGTTTCTTATAGCCTTTCCAACGTCCTTAAGGGTCGGAGCATTTACACTAATTTGCCATTCAAATTGACTGGAGGTTGTGTGTAACCTAAGTGTGGCTGAAGACCAGTGGAACTGTTTCCTAAAGTGTTCTGCCCATCGATCCAATTTCCTAGATTGAGAATGATTGATAATCCTATCCCTTTACGAGATAGTCTCGCTAGCAGCCGAACCCCTAATACCGGTTTCTTTAATAAGTCTGAACATTATTTTACTGTTATCTATCGCTGCTGCCTCTCCCACCTCTTGCTTTTGCTATCTAACACTAATATCATTGCATATTATTTCTATCCACTCCTCATCATGTTCAGAGCCAGATGGGATGAGTTGCCGAGCATCTGTCAATTCGGTAAATGCTTCTGAAACCCACTGTTTCCCTACTAGCGGGTATCACTGCTGTTTCCACAGCATTTTGGATATCATTCCAAGCTGTCTCGTGATGGGCATCATTTACATGGCTGCCTAACTGTTTTCCTCGCTGTTGCGGAAATATATTCTTCACTTTGCCATCATTAAGTAGAACCCAGTAGGGCGCAAACAAATACGTGCTCGTACTAGAACATGATCTTAATCGAAACATATACTCCAGGATGAGCGACAGTCTTCCATCGAGCCTCTCCATCGGTGGCTGATAGCAATGTGATCTAGTTGGGTCCAACTTTAGGACGAATTTGAGGGTCGCCAGGTCAAAAAATGTTTTGCCTTGTGATTAACGTTAGTATTTGCCAGAAATAGGCGATTATCTGAGCATAGTTGCTGCAGACGGTCACCATTATCTGTTCCTTGAACCGCGACACCATAAAATCCACCCAGGTGTCTTTCGTTTTCGCTTAGTCTATCTACCTGAGCAACAAAGTCCTGTTTTTGATGGGATATATCTATTTTAGTTTGGTAGTGGTTACAGAAAGGTATTAAAATCAGAATTTTAAAGGTGTTTTAAATTAGTACGGAAATTAAATAATTAGTCGCTGAGAAAGAGTCCTTTTTTGATACTCCCACAGTGAGTAGCCTCCTCATTAACAAATTTTTAGAGGTGTGGTGACTTGAAATCTATCTTCACTTAGAGTAGCAGAGTAGTCGACTGGTGATTAAAGTACTGTTTGGTTTGTTATATTATAAACTTTGATCACAAGTGGGAGTAGTATTAACCATTTGTGTAGACTAGCAGATGATTCCAAGAGAAGTATTGTTTCATGCTGTTAACGCCTAAACAAGATCAAGTGACTTGTACACATTTAATAGCACTAGAATTCATTCCGTCCTACTTAAAATGTTTTTAGAAATAAAAACATAAAACTCTCAGTATTAACGCTGAAAATATCAAATAACGTGTTGCATTTATTTTTTATCCGAAAGTATTTGAATTGATAATTCTTATCTACTGTTCCATTTTCACAAGTTCAAACAAGAGTTCGCAGGGTAATCGACATAAACGTCGTCAACGCTCCCGAACCTCAACGGCGCAAAACATTGGGTAGGTTGCGATGTATCGATTTTTACCACTCCACATCCAAACTCTCAAGTTCTGGAAAGCTCTCCAACTTTTCTTTAGGATTTTAATAACATTTATTACGATCAGTCTCTTGTATTCAATTTTAAAGTTTTATGTTTCTGAGATATTTTCAAATGATTTCTTTTTCATTTCTTCATATGAGAGAACGCATGTACTATAAAACTCTTGACAAAATATTTAAGACATCTTAAAAGATGCTTCATAAGAATATCAATATTTGAACGGATAGTTTTATAGTTGATTAATACCAGAATAACTGATTTGAAGTGGTTAATTCTGTTACATGTTTAGGTTTTTATATTTTAAGTATGAGCGAAATTCGATTCCAAAATGTATATTTTTGTGTGATTTAATATTTCTGCACTCTTGAATCTGTATAACACAGACCAATTTAAGTATGAAAGAAACGATTACGTTGATAATTACTCAAGATGCAATTTAACCCTTTATAGATTTGTTTGCTGATAGTAGTGAATTACACATACTATAGCAATAAATGTATACTAACATGCTAGCATGCCGCACAAACATGTATAATTTAGGAACATATTTGCAGATATAAAAAAGCGAATTCGGTAAATCTAACTGACCATACAATGATTCAAAGTATATCTTAAATCATGCTTAATATGTGTTTTTCTCCTCCTGTTTCAAAAATATCACTTCACCGCCGCTTTGCCAATAATTCTAACTTAAGAGTAGACAATCAGGTAGTCGTAAACATCAGCAACTCCATTTATAATGAAAAACTTGTCAACCTTAGTGAACCAGTGACTGAAGAAATGGCAACATTGGTATAAAATTCCTTTACTTGGAGTTCATTCAAGGTTTTCGTTGACCTTTTGTTGAATATCTAAACTGTAGGTTGACTGTAAGTTTAGTTATATTGTTTTAGTGGTTGATAGCGTACAAGGAGAAGAAAAGAGGTATTGAAGATATTCCTGCCTGTTATATTAACAGTTATTCATTCCAATAGTTGGCAAGTTTTCCTGTAATGTTTACAAGGAGTATGTTTATCTCATTGCAGTCATCAGTTCATCAGCACATGTATAAAGCATGTTTTTTAATTTTTTTGACTATCGTCTGCTGGATGGTTTTGTTTTGATTCTCATGATAGTGTCTGATGTTTTATACGTGGTTTAATCTATATGGTGACCTGTTGAGAATAGAAATCTGATAGTAGAGAGTTTATGAATTTAAGTGTGATCTAATGTTTTAGTTTAGTTATTTTATAAGAGAAAATATTTCCTGGTATGTTATGGTTACTTTTCGACTTTTGTCTTCACGCCTGTTATCTTCTTTCGCCCATACGTAAATGTTCTTCGTTTTTATACTGCTCATCATTTTCGTAGAACTCAACAAACGCAACAGGCTGGGGATTGTGATGTATCCTCGACTCCACCAATTGTAGAAGAGTGAGTCCCTATGAATTCTTACATGAATGGGTAATTGTGTAAGTATGTATAGTTGATTGTGTAGCTGTAATTAGTGCCATTTTTCACTGAAAGTTCGCTGGAGTTTGAGGAAGTCTAGTGACTAACTACCAGTGTTGTGGAGAGGTGCTTTCTGACTGATTAGTGATGTGTGCAGTGGAGTATTAAATATATGATTTCATTTCATATCTATTTCTACTCCGGACTCGCTGATTCAGACTGCTTGCAACTGTATGAAGTATTTATTGTATATCACTTGATATAAATGATATAAACAATTTGTGAACTTGATGGAATTGATTGTACAAATTGCTTATGTCTTCGTTCATCGCAGTAGCGATTGGTGACGCAATCTACCAGCCAAAAAGTCTGTAACCTTATCCTTTAAGTAAGTTTGCGCCTAGCTAGGTGTCTTGTTTTCTGGAGTGTGTGAAGCAGCGTGTGAGGTAACCTGTAAACATCTGTTTGCAAAACAATCATAATCTTAGCTGTTTCTCACATGTCTTCCATTCCTCAAAGCACCCAAATCACACCATCAATCAGGATCTGACACTTTGCTTTGGCCGTAACTTCAGAGCGACGTTCTATTGCATACTACTTTTAAGCCCCGTCATAAGTAGTGCACAACTCAGTGCTTTAGACGAGAATGCCGGATTATTTATTGAATGTCAGAGAATATGTGTAGGATGATGGTGAGAGTGATTTGAGGGTGATTTCATCTAGTGTTCACTTACCTTTCATGTTCCACATATACAGTCGTAGCAATAATGAGATATGGACGTTAACTGTTAAATTATTTAGATATTTGTAGTTTTTACTGCGTGGGTAAATAAATCGTTTTTTATCTTATTTTCGATTAATTTTTTCTGTTATTCAGGACCATTGTCTCACCTTCCACCGGTGATGCTATTCCTTCGACATCAAAATTAACAAGTCCACCTTCGAAGGCCGCTAGACAGAAAAAAAAACATCCGAAAACACTAGAAACGTAAGTCTTGTGATTTGTTGTTTTTAGTCAGACATACACTGGATTAAAGCATGATTGCGCCGCTGCACGCTGATTGGCTTTTTCGTATACAATCAGCGCTAGCCGATACTGAGTGAATATTCTAGAATCTTCTCATGTAAGAAAACTATAAATATATTAAAGTCTTTTTCCTTTGTAACTTCTGACTTCCATCGGACCCTGTTATTGGAATATTGGAATCAACCGTGTTCTGATTTCGGGAGAACGTTTTGAGTGAAGCGGTGTCCGAGAATACTAAGCATTAGGAATAGCTGGGTTGCAATAAGAGAGAACTAGAACAGTTTGTTAGTGGGTCATAGATGGAACTAAAGCATGACTACGTTGCTACGCGCTGATTGGCTAATTTCCTATCCAATCAGCGCCTGATCGAGTCTTGGAGAACAGGGTAGAAGATTCTCGTACTGTTAGCTGCGTGCTGATTGGTTAAATCCAATCCAGTCGATCACGTGAATTTCTATCCAGAAGCTTCTCTCATGTAAATGCTATAAATAGACTAACGTTGTGTCTATTTTTGCCTTCGCCTACGCCATTACCTTCGGCTTCTTATTTCCGTTCAACCTTGCTATTTTGGAATATAATCTTTTCCTGTTCAACCGTGTTTTTGATTGTTGGGAACTTGTCCAGTGTATTGTGGTCAGAGAATACTAAGCAATAGGATTTAGCTGGGAATTATTTAAGCAAGCGTTACAACACAGTTGTAGATTGTTGTCCTGTAATTTTCTAGATTAGATTCCATCCTTAATCAGATTTCACTTTTTTTTCATTTTAGTATACATCTTTCTGAAGATTTATCTAAGTGAGTTGTTTTTGTTCGTATTCTCCGTTCTTTTCAGTGGAGTGTTATTGATTTTGTTCTGTGTAAAATATGTCTTTTTCTAATTTTGTCTATTTCAAGAATGAATATCAAAAGCTTTTCGATACCTAATCGGCCTGATGAAGGAGGACGGTTGGGCAAAGAAATTAGTGTGACCGTTAATTGTTGGGATTTTTCGATAAAATCTAACGTTGTTTACATGTATCGTGCAGAAGCCCTTGCGGTATATCGTACTCAAAAGGAAAACAAGGTTGAAGTACGAATGCCTGCCAAGGATAAACGTGCTCTGATTAAACAGGTGGCTGACAGGTTAGTATTCTTCAGATACATTTCATAGTATAATACTATCGCATTTATTTTTAAGCTTACTGATCGTGTGTATTGTGTTTACTTATTTTGGCGAAAACAACTTGGTTGGAGATTTAATGTTTGTTTAACTGATATTCTTTCAACTCATATGAATTTTGTAGCTCACATATACATTCATTTCCAAAGTAGAAATTTTAGCCTTACTAACTAGTATTCGTAAATTTCCGTGTTGTTTAACTTAAACGAGCGGATTAGTACTGAACAGTTGTAAAATTATCTCTTTGATTACCGGATTTTCGATTTATGACTATTCTTCGTTTGTAAAATTTGTATACTTTAATTAGACTCGGAAGAATCCATCAAGAAACCCTAGAAGTTATTAATCATGTTAGGTTAAATTCCAACCTTGTTTGAATGAAGACAAATGATCCTGACATTCGTAAAACTGTTAATCGATTAGTGGGCAAAATAAGCGATTCAAGCAAGCGGACAACTTCAAACATTTGGATGTAGCAGTTGACTGATATGATAAAAGCACACTTGAATTTAATGGACAGTTTGTAGGTTACTTCTATAATCGAATAAATAATTATGAGATAAATTCATTAATATAGGTTGACAATAAAACTACTTTTCCCTTTTGGATGATACCACTTATGAATTAGATTTTCTTAATGCACATCATATTTCATCTCTGAATCGTTGGCCTATAATTATTTTGTGCTTACGCTTAGAAAATTCTTGGATCTGTGTTTTTTGTTGGGTTAGTATGCGTTGTGTTAAAATACGTTCAACTACTGCCATACATATGTATTATCCTATAACTACGTGTTTTGTACTGAGATTGTAGAAAGATTATGAAACTGTTCTATTGTCCCGTTTGAAAACTTCCTTTGTGCTTTGTATTTAAGAATTTTCATAAATGGTAATTTTCATTTACTTCCCACTTCCCACATTATGATAATAGTTAGGCATATTTAGTTATGCCCATAATGTTTTTTCTTTACAATGAATTACTTTTTAATTTAGCTAGGAGAATTTCATCCAGTATCAGCTCAGAGATGGGCATGTAATGCCTCCTTATGCCTACTTATATATTTCTTCTTTAAATATGAAATTCAAATATATGGAAAATTTCCGAATACCTTTGTTTGTGATGACTCTTGAAATTTCGATATCCACGCCTCTTAATTTTGAGATGGATGGCTTTCTTTGATATGCTTATGTTGAATTTTAATGTACAATCACAGCATTTGTCTTCATGATTTCATTTTTGCTGCCGATATTTTTACAGTTTATCGTTACTCTCTCTACGTTTACATAGGTTACACAATTATATAATTTACGATGGTGGGCATGATATGTACTCGGTGGAACGTTTGCCAGGGATCAGCACAGTTCCTGTTGAATCAGAAATCGAAATCGTTGATCCGCTTGGCCGGGAGGATCTCATTTTGAAATATCAGATAGCGGAAGTACAGACGTTGTCAACTGACGATGTGCAACAATATGTAGAAAATCCGAAAGCAACATCATTAAGCATGCCCCAGGTAAGGTTGATGCATTACAATAATTCTTTCTAGGATTCTATAAGATTGACAGATTGCATATTGAGAACTGTGTCAAAACAGTCGTTGATATCACTTGGAAGATCTGCTTTGTTTTACGACAAGCCAGTCAAAGTAGTGGCAAACAAACTGTTCAGCATTTATAGAGGGTTTATAAGCAGTATTAGACCACAGTGGAAAGTTCGCTTGAATATAGACATGGTATTTATTCAGATTCCTAATTTTGTGTTTCAAGATCTATAAGGCTTTCTTCACCGCCGGTAACCTAGCAGATGTCATGTATGAAAAGTATGGAGACGATATGGCTAGATTCAGCACACAAATGGCTCTTGATTTAAAAAGAATACGTGTCGAAACGGATAAGTTTTATAAAAGCGACAAAGGTATGTAGCTCTTTTGTTTACTCTCATAACACCGTTCTAGGCAATGCATATTCCAGACGGTTCACCGTGCATGGAATATCATCTCTGCCGGCTAACCAGCTCATAATTAAGGAGCTGAAACAATCTGTTGCCGACTACTTTGATGAACACCATCATATCAAGTTGAAATATCCTAATCTCCCATGTGTAAAGGTAATGTGGATTTATTATTGTATTCCCCAGGTTGATCAAAAACGTGACGTCTATATGCCTATGGAACTACTAAATATTCTTCCATTTCAAGCACCTAATGCAACCAAGGCCGACGTGGCTAGTGAGGTTGTCCGGTGTGCTGCAGTTCGTCCTCAAGAACGTTTCCGGGAACTTATGGAGTTCGCTAATTCGATTCCTAGGTAACCATGTCTCTGTATTTCGATTTTACTTACAAGTTAGTTGATGAAAATGCAGTTAAACTTTGTACCTCGTTTTCCTAGTTAGTAAAACGGTTAGGTGTGATGTGCAATAGGATACTAACGAACTGAAGGGTCGATCTCATATTTAAATAAAAAGTAACATTAGCATTTAATACATTTGTTTCCATAGTTTATCGATACCAGTTCGTTAAGAGTGGCGTAATAGCAAAGATAATTAAGGGAACTACCTCACTGATCTGTTACTGGCTTTCAGTGCACTTTCTCAAAGAACGTGGAAGATCGTTTAATAACTCAATTGAGTGGACGAATAAGATTCGGTTTTGAGATGGTGGAGAAAATTTTGTAGCTCAGGTGAATGATTGTGGTGGTGTTTTGTTCTATGAGTTGGATGTTTTTGTTGTGAAGCTTTCATTGTTCGTCTAAACAACATCATCAGCACAAACTTCAGATAGAAGTGAAATATTCGAATTTCTCCACGTTTGACCTGTAGCTTGTTCTGCTAACCTCGATCTTGATTGGTTGCTGTTGACCTTAAGTCTGTTATTGTTTGCACCTTTGTTTGGATTGTATTCCTTTTTTGATCTGTTTCTTGATCCTACGTCACCCATGATTTTTCTAACTGGTTGATAAATCGAGTCAATGTCGATGTGTTTGTTGATTGCTGATTGACCTGAGTGCCAAACTTCTAAAAATTCTCTATTTTGCTTTGTCCTCCACCTATCCAGTATTTCCACATTGTTCCAACCGAACGTATGTAAATAATTGTCGGTGTGTATTGATATAAGCGAAGAATTGTCGTGGCGTCTGACTACTAATTAGTGTTCGCGTGAACGAAGCTGAAGAAGTCGTCCACTTTGTCCTATGTAGTGTTTTTCACAGTCTGAGCAATTTATTTTGTAGATGAAATTTGGTTTTTCTTCATTTGTCATTTTGTCCTTTGGTCTACATAGGATTGATTGAAGTGATTCTGTTGGTTTTTGTGCCACACCTATTCCAAATGGTTTCAGTAGTCTTGATGTATGCTCCGATACGTCTTTTGTGTATGATAAGATGATCCGTTTATTGGTTCCTGTACTTGATTTCGCTTCTGTTGAAGATTTCGGTTGATGTTTTTTGATGAAGTTGCGTGGATAGCCGTTCTTTTGGAAAATAGCCACAAAGTGTCTTTCCTCGTTGCGTCCAACGTTGAGACGACTTTGGAGGTCGCCAGGTCAACAGATGTTTTTCCTTATGCCTAAAGTTAGTGTTTGCTAAGAATAGGCGGTTACCTGAGCATACTTGCACAAACGGTCGCGATTGTCTGTTCTCTGAGCCGCGACACCATAACATCCACCTAGGTGTCTTTCATTTTCACTCAGTCTACCTACTTGAGCATTAAAGTCACCAGCCATTGTTACTACTTCAGAGCGCCTAGCTTTTTGGAGGAGGTCCGAAACCTTTTGTAAAACTCATCTTTAACCTCGTCTGAACTGCACTCAGTGGGGACATATGCAGATATGACGTAACGGGATGTTAGGTTTGTGGAGTTTCGGCCTACCGTAGAATCGTGGAATTACTGGTTCATCGGATTGCATTCTGCATTGATCTTGTTTCGATATATGCCCTGCTTTGACAAGCCTGTTTAGAGTCCTTGAGATCTAGTTGTCCAACCTTTTTATTGGGTTTGTGTCGATTGATGTATAAACGCTTCTGTCCTCAAGTAGTTCCTCGGCTTTCTTGATGTATTCTTCCTTGTCCATAATTACTGTCGTGCGGCCTTCGTCCGCTGGGACTGTGACTATATCTTCCCTGGTTCTGAGTTTCTTTAAGGCTTTTCGTTGTTGTGCTGTTAGTTGGTTGTCTCTCTTCCGTCCAGTTAGTGGTATTATGGTTTGTCTTATTTCTTATGTAGTTTCTTCACTCCTTCCGGCCATTTTTAGTGATGACTCTAGTGTAGCGAAGAATTCGAGTTTCGGAGAGTCCTTCCTGTTGTAGTTTAATCCTTTTTGGAGTTGTTCTTCTGTTTTTGTTAGACGTTGTGGTTGACAACATAATTGTTTGAGTTTACTTCTGTGGGTCGTTTTGAAATCTTGATTAGTTTACCTCTGAGGATGTTTCTTCTTTGTTCTCTGTGTCATCTGCTTGACAGTTCGATCGCCGTTGTCAATGTTGTTAAGTGTTCTGATGTGAGTATTCATTCTAGTTTTCTTTTTCGTACATCCACGTTGTGCTGGTATTTGAGGATCCTGTAGTGTGCATTAGTAATCAACAATCACATCGACATTGACTCGATTTATCAACCAGTTAGAAAAATCATGGGTGACGTAGGATCAAGAAACAGATCAAAAAAGGAATACAATCCAAACAAAGGTGCAAACAATAACAGACTTAAGGTCAACAGCAACCAATCAAGATCGAGGTTAGCAGAACAAGCTACAGGTCAAACGTGGAGAAATTCGAATATTTCACTTCTATCTGAAGTTTGTGCTGATGATGTTGTTTAGACGAACAATGAAAGCTTCACAACAAAAACATCCAACTCATGGAACGAAACATCACGAAAATTCGGTTTGTCAGTCATTGGATGTCAGTAATCTTGAAAATGATATTTTGCAAATTAATTTAATTACGTTTTTTCATTTTTATCTTAAGGGCACATCCACTGTTTCAACTGTTTCAAGTAAAAATTGCCAACAAACCTTTAGATGTAAAGGCACGTGTGCTCCAACCACCTAAAGCAGTTTTTAATCATCCAGACAAAATTCAACTGAAGGCTGGAAGTTGGAATACACCAGCTTTTCATAAGGCAGCCAAACACGGTACTGAGATTCAATGGGGACTACTTTGTATCCCAAGAAACCCTGTAGGTTCTTTTCATCAGTGATATTTTCACGTTTTATTGTTCAGTTATTCATTATTGACGCTTTTGGTGCTCAGTAAAATATTGAAACAGTTGTTGACTTATGTTCACAAGGTTGAAATTTCTGAACAAATAAGTTTTATACCGCCTAACCTCCAACACTGATATAATGGACATTAAATGATATTGTATGATTCTGACTAATGACATTGGGTGGGATTACAAGTATCCGATCTAATAACATCACCAGTCAATGAGAATCAATATTAGATCACAATACAATTGATAAGCAGACAGACAGACATCAACAAAGCGTCAGGGACAGATATGGTTTGGTCCAAACTGCCATACCTGTTTGGCACGGCGAGATGAAAATCACAAAACAATTGGAATAATGTAATTGTTACTTACTTACTCCTTTTACCCCCAAAGGAACATAAGCCGCCGATCAGTATTCTATAATCTACTCAGCCCCGTGCATCCCTTTTCAGTTCTGTCCAACGTTTGTTCATTCCTCTCATGTATTTCTCTATTTCTCGGCGTGATGTGTTTCTTGGCCTTCCTCTTTTCACTTGACCTTGAGAGTTTCAAGTGAGGCCTTGCCTTGTGAGGCAGTTGGGTGCTTTCCGCAGTGTGTCCTATCCACTTCCACCGCTTCTTCCTGATTCCCTCCTCCGCTGAAATCTGGTTTGTCCTCTAGCACAGTAGGTTGTTGCTCACGGTTTTTGGCTGGCGGATTTGAAATATTTTCCATAGAAAGGAAATACTTGTATCTTTAGGATGATGGCTCTGGTAGTTCTCTAAGTTCCCATCCCATACAGTAGACGCCATTTGATCATACTAAATGATCAATTAGTGTTCACAAAATGTACCTTATAAATTCTTATAAATTATTTTTTCTTCTCTGAAACTAAACAAATGTAAGCAGTAAACTACCATTCTTTGCTAACAACGAATTAACTTTTCTTAAACGGAAAATCTTTTACTTAGCAGTGTCAAAATGTGAAATAACTTCCTTTGAAGAAGTAATGATCTGATTTTTTAGTCTTGATGACAGTCGTATGGTAATAGACAAAAGAAGCATTGTTGCCTTATAAATATATGACTTTTTACTTCATCAGTGTGTGTATCATTCTTTTTATATCATTTCCTCAATCTCTTGTCCTCGATTTTTATTGTAGCGATCTGATGGGGATGAGAGAACAGTTACCATGGAATTACCTAAGGTTGCAAAGCGTTTTGGTGTTTTATTGAGTAATCAACCCTCTCTATCCCGGTGCCATGTTAGCCAACTGGAGAAGACGTTCGAGGAATTTAATCGAAAAGTGAGTAAATCTGATTTAAATGATTTGGTTTCGTTTTTTGGGACAGTTACTAACACATTCGATTTGTTTTCAGGGTTGCATTTTCATTCTGTTGATTCTGTACGATGATCTATCCTACGGAACAGTAAAACGTTTAAGTGATCTGAGATTCGGGATCCGTACACAGTGTGTTCGTGGTAACACTCTACGTAAACCTAATGTATTTCGTAAGTATCTTTCATTCATACCGATTCGTTTGCTTCAGTTTTTTTCTTTAAAAATGGCCTAATCTAATCTGTTTTTTTTAAAGCCAACCTGCTATTGAAACTCAACGGGAAACTCGGTGGTGTTAATTGGATTATCTCAGATCTTGCTGAATACACTCAAGAATTAATAATGGTTCTCGGTGCTGATGTTACTCATCCAGCACCGACACAATCCCAACAGGTTCGCAAGTCAATTGCTGCTGTCGTTGGATCTAACAGCCCTGATTTAATGCGATACGCGGCTGTAGTTCGACAACAAGTAACTACTGAGCGAGGAAATAAAACAACGAGAGAAATTATTGATAATTTGTGTTCTTCAGTTGAAGAATTACTCACGGTTAGTCATTCTGTATTCTATGTACTCTTCATCACTTCTGTGCATTATTATTTTCCTTTATGTTTATCTCCTTTGTGACATCGTTATTTGGCAACATTTATATTTACAATACAGCTGTATTTGCGGAATACAAATGGACGTTTTCCTAAACGTATAATATTCTATCGAGATGGTGTTTCTGAGGGTCAATTTGAGAATGTTTTGGTCGAGGAGTTGTCTGCCATTCAAAAAGCCTGCAGTAACATCCGTCCTGGAGAAGAACCTGCTATTACATTTATCGTTGTCCAGAAGCGACATCATATCCGATTTCAACCTCATGATCCCAGGTAATTAGGTAAAATCTTTATATTTGTAACTAGGGTAACATGTTTAGTTATTTGAAAGTTTATTTTCAAACATGTTATATATATTTTGGAACAATATTTCGTAATTTTTTTTTGATAGGGCACGGAATTTGGAACCAGGGAGTGTTGTCGATACCAATATAACTCATCGTCGAGAGTTCGATTTTTACCTTTGCTCTCATGAAGGTATTCAGGTAATTAGTTTCTCTTTATTGATAATTATTTCTTCCAGGGGACATCAAAACCATCACACTATCATGTATTATATGATGACAGTAACTTTAAATCGGATGCTCTTCAAATGTTTACATACTATTTATGTTATTCTTATATGAGATGCTCTCGGAGTGTTTCTTACCCTGCTCCAGTGTATTATTCTCATTTAGCTGCATTCCGTGCTCGAGATTGGTTGTCGAACATAAATGAACCTACTTCTTTGCTTGAGCGTGATCGCTTTAAAATTCATAGTTCGCAAATTGATGGTATGTTTTTCTTGTAAAACTTTCTTAACTCACCATCGTGGCGAAGAATATTTACTATGTTCAGCAAATAAATTAACTATAAGCACAATTATACAGCTTAATTTAATGAAGCGTTCGAAAAGAAAATTGCTAGATCTTCCTAATTCTTCTTGAATTCATTATTTTTTCGAAATAAAGTACATTTATGACAATTCATGTTTGTTTTAACTTGAATGATTGAATATATTTTAGGAAAAATTATCCCATTCAATTTGGCCTTCAATAGCCCACTTTAAATTTGTTGTTTGTTTGACAACTTGATGCACTGAAGATTGAGAGATCTTGCTTATAAACCCACAAATGTTGTGTTTATCTATCACATGTACTTATTATTTTAAAAGTATACTGTCAGTGGAAGCATCGTCACAAAGTACCGTAAGGATACTGTGATAGGGAGCAGGTAAACAACTTAATATTTATATAAATCGAGCAGTAAAAAGAGTTGAGATAAAAAAGACAAATAATGCAAAAAATAAGTAACTGATTGCTACGCCTGCACGTAAACACGTCATTTTGATATGCTTGAACTATTACGAGTTTACCTAGTCGGAGAACGAGATCGAGGATCCGTCGACACGACATGCTACTCTAATCCGATTATCCCGACCCCCATATTGAGTAAAAATAAGAAGACTTGATATGAAGTAGAACCTGTATTCTACAGTCATTCATAGAGTACGAGGCCCGAATCCAGAAGAGAATCAGGATCCTGGACTAGGGGTCCGGGTCCTGGTCCTCGTTCCAGAAAAGCGTATTTAAACACAACACCAGATTGACTTGATCCACCACAGTCGTGTCACGATGCAGCTTGGTATCCATCAACATTTTCATTAGTTCAGCTGCTGCTCGGGTAATAATTTAAGTCTCAAAGGATCAATGTGATCCTATCCCCGTCGCCAAAATTGTTATGTTCGTCACTTGGTACGCTTGAAGCTATTACGAGTTCACCTTAGTCGATAAACGCGAACTAGACGATTACCAGCGTCCAGGTAGGCTACCTTGAATCCCAAACTGCAAAACAGAAGACTTGACAAGCGTAGAAAGTATATACTACAACACCCAGCAACCACAATACCATCAAGCAGACAACTCTCGTTTATTTATACATCATAGAAACGTCCTTTGGACAGTTACGAAAATAGCACACTAACGAAATCTCAAGGTCAAATGATCAGCCCATGCTCGCAAACGTGAAATCCAAAATAAGGCACTTATCAAGCGAGTACTTGGGATCTAACATCCCCAACACTGTTGCTGTCAATTAGAAAGATCTTCATTTACGTTCATCAGTGTACTGTTTATGCTAGAGCGCACTTCGGTTGCCCATAAAAACGATGTTATAATGAAACTTATTTTATACGAGATTGTGCAAATATATCGAAATGGAAGATTTTTGGTAAACAGAACATGAAGATGGATCACCTCCATTTCTTGTTATTCACAAAGTCGTTGCATTTTTTAATTGATGCTTGGTTGTGCCGAATTTTAACTTAAGGCTTTCAAATTTAATTTGCTCGAATAAATGATGGAAAATTTCATGAGATACTTTCCCAGATCCGTTTGATAAGTCGTTTCTTCAACCGATCTCCAAATTTCAGTAGTTCTCTTAGTGTTTACGAACTGTTTACTCAGTTTTACACTACCACAGAAATAAGAATGGTTTTATTGGACAGAATAAGTTGCTCAATAACTCTGGTGACGTAATTCACGAAATCATGAAATTGTGTTGATCACCACAAAAAAAGGAACTTAAATAACCCGTATTTTGTAGTCACTTAGATTTTAGGTGACTTCTGTCAGTGTTTGTTTTTCTCTTAATTACTTTCTATAGTAAGGTTGTCATTTCCAATCAGTTCGATACAACGTAGGATTTCATACGTACGTACATCAGTCCAAGTTCCCATACCACATTAGCAGAGACGCAATCGTCAATTCAAATCCCGTATAAGTAGAGGTAGTAGAAGTACTAACATTAATCAGAGTGATTAGGGTTATAAGCTATTATTCAAGAGGCATAATTCAGTGAAATAAACTTGAAAAGCCAAAGATAAAGGTGATGAGCAATTCAGGAGATTGGGATTTAAGAGAACACAAAGACTGGATACACCTGCGACATTGCAAACCATTTTGAGCTATTTCACTCCTAGTCTCTAACCATCAGTCCACGCCTACTAACATGACTCGATCTACTTGTCAGTGACTTCATGGGTCCGTACCATGTTTTGGTTTCGCTACACTTACCTAACTTCCAGCCTACCCCTACACCACAAAACATTGCTCTTCTAGACAGTTGGTGGTTGGGCATACGTAACACATATCACAGCCACCACAACTAATGAAGGTTCACTACTTCAATCGATTTTCCATCCTCACCCAGTACTCGTTCCTTAAAAACAGCATTGCCTACTCAGTGGTCCCAGAATATACGATCAATGCATCGAAGACACCGTTATTCGAATACTAGAAACCTTCAGATATCCTTTACTCTGACGGCCATGTTGCACAGCCATAAAGCAGGACGGAGCGAACTGATGCTCAGTAGGCTCCTCCTTTGGTTAGCAGACGGATATCTCGCCTACGCCATAAGTGACGCAGGTTGGCAAAAACCAATCGAGCCTTCTGTATCCGAGCTGAGATTTCGTCAGTCACCAGGCCATCAGCACTGATGAGACTCCCCAGATAAGTGAAGAGGTCAACAAGCCCAAATACTTCACTTCCTACCACTAGTCCAAGTGCCGATGCAACCCAATCCTGAAGCAACATCTCGCATTTCGAGAAGGAGAACCGCATCCCGAACATACTTGCAATGTTGCTTAGGGTGGTCAGAATACTGCATTGTCAGCGTCTTCATCGACATATTTTAAGTTGACCAAGTGAGTCTTCCGGTAAAGTTACAGTTACTGAAAAGTTAAACGAAGATAATGTTATCTCTAAGAGCACGTCTATGACAAAGTTAAACAAGAATGGAGAAAGTGGACATTCCTTGACGGACACTACTTGAAGTAAACAATTCCGATAACAGTTCACCATAAGCTCTGACTTGACAACTAGTTTTCGAGCAGCGAGCATGTGTAAGGTTAATGTACTTTTTAGGCACTCCTTTTAATAACATAGCCGTAGAACCTCACGATTGACAGTCTTAAGCTGCTTCAAGGTCGAAGAGTTCAACGATTGTCGGTCGCCGAAATGTGTACCTGTGTTCTAGGACCTGCCGCGGCGTGAATATCTGGTCTTATATAGCGACTCCTTGGTCTGAATTCATCCTGCTTTTCACGGGCTATAATTAGACGTTGAAGTATTATTGAGACTGATAGTTTAAACACTAATAAAAAACTTGTCTGCCTGTGATTCTTACAAAAATACCTTTGTCCAAGTATGTTATCTTACCGGGAAGTAGAGGCTTACCCAAAAGTCCAGTTATGTTTGCCTTTCGATATAATTTCATGAAGTGAGGTCACATTATTGATACGGTTATGTGAGTTGTTACCTGTCACGCGCAGCAAATAAATACGCATCATCGTGTGGTACGTGTTGTCAGATCTTTTGTGATTGGACGATATTGTTGGCGGTGAAATATTTATCGTAGCAGACCACGAGTAAGCTCTCTCATCCCATTCTCATTGCCAGACATCGCCTTGAGACATTCTGGGGATTACTGCCAGTCTACAATGCAGATAAGGAAGGAATGTTGAGAACTGATAGGATGGGGAACTCATGGATTCAGGATCTTCAAATCATCCTTCTAAAGAAAGAAAGAACACACTAAATTGAACGTCATCCAGTGCTATGGGTATAGTAATAATGACTGGTGACTTTAATGCTCAAGTAGGTAGACTGAGTGAAAATGAAAGACACCTAGGTGGATGTTATGGTGTTGCGGCTCAGAGAACAGACAATCGCGACCGTCTGTGCAAGTATGCTCAGGTAACCGCCTACTCTTAGCAAACACTAACTTTAGGCATAAGGAAAAACATCTGTTCACCTGGCGACCTCCAAAGTCGTCTCAACGTTGGACGCAACTAGACCACATCGCCATCAGCCACCGATGGAGGGGTTCGATAGAGTACTGTCGCTCGTTCTGGGGCACATGTTTAGATTCAGATCATGCCCTAGTGCGAGTGCGTATTTGTTTGAGGCTTACTGGGCGTAGGGAAGACACCGTAAGAGAGCCTGTTAGGGTTTTACTTAATGATAATCAAACTAAGATAATATTTCAGGAGCAACTAGAAACAGAGTTAAGCAACCATGTAGGCGATTCCCATCCAGAAGCAGGTTGGTATGATATCGAAAAGGCTGTGGAAACAGCAGTGATATCTTCTAGTAAGGTAAACCACAAGCCTAGGATGAAACCGTGGATCTCCGTAGCATCTACCGAACTGATGGATGCTCGAAAACTCATCCCTCGTGGCTCTGAGCACAATGAGGGGCGGAGTCAGATTAGGCGCATGCTGAGAAAAAGCCTACGGAATGATCGAGAACAGTGATGGGTGGAGAAAGCGAGAGAGATGGAAAAGGCAGCGGCGATAGGCAACAGTAGACAACTATTTAGACTCATCAAGGAAACTGGTATTAGGAACCCAAGTGTGAGTGAGACTGTTTCGAAAAAGGATGGTCTTATTATCCATTCTCAATCCAGGAGACTGGACCGATGGGCAGAACACTTTAGGGATCAGTTCAACTGGCCCCGAGCCATTCTTCGGTTACCCACGATCTCCAATCATCCTGAATGGCAAATCGACGTAAGCCCCCTTAGTCTTTATGAAGTTGAGAAAGCGTTCGGAAGTCTGAAGCGAGGGCGAGCTGCAGGTCGTGATAGACTGACCCCTGAGATATTTAAGGATGATGGTCCAGTTTTAGCAGCTAGGTTGACTGAGATCTTAGGTAGAATCTGGGAACTGGACGTAATCCCATCCGACTGGTCTCAATCACTGATTGTCCCAATATATAAGAAAAGACAAAAGTCTTCTTGTGACAATCA